GTGTGTGTGTCTGAGTGTGTGTGTGTGTGAGTGTGTGTGTCTGAGTGTGTATTTTATCGTCCTTTTTAAAACAATGTTTTTTATTGCATCCTGTTTGTTTTCTTTGTAAACAAACTTTTACAACTACATTATTGGTGCTTTCAACAACTAAAAATCCAGTCAGAAGAGTTAGTGTCAGACGCAGGACAAAACAACACGCTACTGGACAATCAGCTTCCACCTCACAGCTGAGCATGTACCTGAGTTGGCCCCGCCCTCCGGTCCCTGTGTGCCGTACTTGGGCCCCGCCCGGAGCCCCTGGTAGTCCGCCGCCGCCGCCACGGCCTGAGCGAAGTCAGCGTCCGTGAAGAAGGATCCGTCCGAGGAGCTGACGGCGCTGGAGCGACCCGAGGACACGTTCTCCTCCTCAGACGCCGAGCCCCAGCCGTTCACCATGGAGCCGGTGACGGAGCTGTCCAGGTCCAGGTCCCCGGTGCTGGAGCCGGGGGTCCGCAGCAGCAGGCGGCGGTGGGGGTGGTACTGTGGCGGCCTCAGCTCGCCGTCCGTGTCCAGCAGCTCCTCCTCCTCCGTCTCGTCCAGACCATGTGTGATGTAGCTGTAGGTGTGGGAGGGGGACAGGGGCCGCGGGGGGGCCGGGGGGGCTCATGGCCTGACGTCTGCGGACACAAGGGACTGTTAGCTGCTTTAAGACTGTACAGACCCAGGATTATGGGGTCCAGCTCAGACACATAAACACATGATACAAATGTAAAGTGATGAAGACACTGCGTCTGGTGACGTGTGAGGCCCAACCACAGAACACTACTGTAGAAACCACAGAACACTACTGTAGAGACCACAGAACACTACTGTAGAGACCACAGAACACTACTGTAGAAACCACAGAACACTACTGTAGAGACCACAGAACACTACTGTAGAGACCACAGAACACTACTGTAGAGACCACAGAACACTACTGTAGAAACCACAGAACACTACTGTAGAAACCACAGAACACTACTGTAGAAACCACAGAACACTACTGTAGAGACCACAGAACACTACTGTAGAGACCACAGAACACTACTGTAGAGACCACAGAACACTACTGTAGAGACCACAGAACACTACTGTAGAAACCACAGAACACTACTGTAGAAACCACAGAACACTACTGTAGAAACCACAGAACACTACTGTAGAGACCACAGAACACTACTGTAGAGACCACAGAACACTACTGTAGAGACCACAGAACACTACTGTAGAGACCACAGAACACTACTGTAGAAACCACAGAACACTACTGTAGAAACCACAGAACACTACTGTAGAGACCACAGAACACTACTGTAGAGACCACAGAACACTACTGTAGAAACCACAGAACACTACTGTAGAGACCACAGAACACTACTGTAGAGACCACAGAACACTACTGTAGAGACCACAGAACACTACTGTAGAAACCACAGAACACTACTGTAGAAACCACAGAACACTACTGTAGACCACAGAACACACTGTAGAAACCACAGAACACTACTGTAGAGACCACAGAACACTACTGTAAACCACAGAACACTACTGTAGAAACCACAGAACACTACTGTAGAGACCACAGAACACTACTGTAGAACCACAGAACACTACTGTAGAGACCACAGAACACTACTGTAGAAACCACAGAACACTACTGTAGAAACCACAGAACACTACTGTAGAAACCACAGAACACTACTGTAGAGACCACAGAACACTACTGTAGAGACCACAGAACACTACTGTAGAGACCACAGAACACTACTGTAGAGACCACAGAACACTACTGTAGAGACCACAGAACACTACTGTAGAGACCACAGAACACTACTGTAGACTAGACCACAGAACACTACTGTAGAGACCACAGAACACTACTGTAGAGACCACAGAACACAGAACACTACTGTAGAGACCACAGAACACTACTGTAGAGACCACAGAACACTACTGTAGAGACACCACAGAACACTACTGTAGAGACCACAGAACACTACTGTAGAGACCACAGAACACTACTGTAGAGACCACAGAACACTACTGTAGAGACCACAGAACACTACTGTAGAGACCACAGAACACTACTGTAGAGACCACAGAACACTACTGTAGAGAGAACCACAGAACACTACTGTAGAGACCACAGAACACTACTGTAGAGACCACAGAACACTACTGTAGACCACAGAACACTACACCACAGAACACTACTGTAGAGACCACAGAACACTACTGTAGAGACCACAGAACACTACTGTAGAGACCACAGAACACACCCTCTCTCTGGTCTCTCTCTGGTCTCTCTCTGGTCTCTCTCTGGTCTCTCTCTGGTCTCTCTCTGGTCTCTCTTTAGTCTCTCTCTGGTCTCTCTCTGGTTTCTCTCTAGTCTCACTTTAGTCTCTCTTTAGTCTCTCACTGGTCTCTCTCTAGTCTCACTCTGGTCTCTCTCTAGTCTCTCTCTAGTCTCTCTCTAGTCTCTCTCTAGTCTCTCTCTAGTCTCTCTCTGGTCTCTTTCTCTTAGAAGACTTGTATTTTTATAAGTTAGACATTTGTTTTAACTGTTTCCCACGGGTCGAAGGATTCTCCTGATGACACATACTTCCACAGTGTCTTCCTTAAAGACACATTATGAATCATTGTGTTTTCTTGAAAGCGTCCGGGCTCAGAACACACAGGGTCTGTGTTCAGAGGAGATGGTCGGATCCCTCTCTGCCGCTGGCCACACATTTACATTTTCCATTTTTCCTTGAACTGCTCTAATTTCCTCAGCTGGCCATTCTTGGTTTTCAAGAGGCTCATTTACAATATTGATGCTGGGCGAGTGCGCGAGGCGAAGCAATCACGCCTGCCCAACATGTATTTGTAAAAGTCAAGCGCGGCCCTCGGATACGATTAGATAACCCAATTACTCCAGCTGGAGTCGTGTGTCCGCGAGGCCTCGTCTGTCTGTGCAGAGAGGAGCGTCTCCGGGCTGTGGCATCATCCCAACTCATGTAGTAATCACACAAGCTACAACTAAGAGCCGTCGGGTCGCAGCGACTCAGAGATGATTGGTTCAAACTAGGACTATGTGCTTTTATTAGATATGGTTTTGTTTTGCATGTGTTTGGTCCCTAGTCGCTCTCTCTCTGCTCTCTCTGGTCTCTCTCTCTGGTCTCTCTCTGGTCCCTCTCTCTGGTCTCTCTCTCTGGTCTCTCTCTCTGGTCCCTCTCTCTGGTCTCTCTCTGGTCTCTCTGTGGTCTCTCTCTCTCTCTGGTCTCTCTCTGGTCTCTCTCTGGTCTCTCTCTCTGGTCTCTCTCTGGTCTCTCTCTGGTCCCTCTCTGGTCCCTCTCTGGTCCCTCTCTGGTCCCTCTCTCTGGTCTCTCTCTCTGGTCTCTCTCTCTGGTCTCTCTCTCGTCCCTCTCTCTGGTCTCTCTCTCTGGTCTCTCTCTGGTCTCTCTCTGGTCTCTCTCTGGTCTCTCTCTGGTCTCTCTGTGGTCTCTGGTCTCTCTCTGGTCTCTCTCTGGTCTCTCTCTGGTCTCTCTCTCTGGTCTCTCTCTGGTCTCTCTCTGGTCCCTCTCTGGTCCCTCTCTGGTCCCTCTCTGGTCCCTCTCTCTGGTCTCTCTCTCTGGTCTCTCTCTCTGGTCTCTCTCTCGTCCCTCTCTCTGGTCTCTCTCTCTGGTCTCTCTCTGGTCTCTCTCTGGTCTCTCTCTGGTCTCTCTCTGGTCTCTCTGTGGTCTCTGGTCTCTCTCTGGTCTCTCTCTCTGGTCTCTCTCTCTGGTCTCTCTCTGGTCTCTCTCTGGTCCCTCTCTGGTCCCTCTCTGGTCCCTCTCTGGTCCCTCTCTCTGGTCTCTCTCTCTGGTCTCTCTCTCTGGTCTCTCTCTCGTCCCTCTCTCTGGTCTCTCTCTCTGGTCTCTCTCTCTGGTCCCTCTCTCTGGTCTCTCTGTGGTCTCTCTCTCTCTCTGGTCTCTCTCTGGTCTCTCTCTGGTCTCTCTCTCTGGTCTCTCTCTGGTCTCCTCTCTCTGGTCCCTCTCTGGTCCCTCTCTGGTCCCTCTCTCTGGTCTCTCTCTCTGGTCTCTCTCTCTGGTCTCTCTCTCTGGTCTCTCTCTGGTCTCTCCCTGGTCTCTCTCTCTGGTCTCTCTCTGGTCTCTCTCTGGTCTCTCTCTGGTCTCTCTCTCTGGTCTCTCTCTGGTCTCTCTCTCTGGCCTATCTCTGGCCTCTCTCTGGCCTCTCTCTGGTCTCTCTCTGGTCTCTCTCTCTGGTCCCTCTCTGGTCTCAGTCCAGGACTTGGTCTCTACAGTGGTACTGACCTATCCTTGGCCTTATCTACTCAAGCGTGTGAAAACCTTTTTTTCATCCTTGTTATTCATTCATTTTTAGGTTTTTCCCCAGACCGCCTGCCTGCCCCAGAGACCCCCCTGCCGAGCCAAACCAAGCCAAACCAAACCAAGTCAAGCGTTTGATACAGATTTTTTCAAACCTCCTTCCTGTGTCTGTTTTTAGGATCCCGTACCATCACCCTAAAAATAACAATAAACATAGCCCTGCACAGAAATAATAAAGCATGTGTGTGTGAGTGTGTGTGTGTGTGCGTGTGAGAGGGTGTGTGTGTGTGTGAGTCTGTGTGTCTGTGTGTGTGTGAGTGTGTGTGTGTGTGTGAGACGGTGTGTGTCTGTGTGAGTGTGTGAGAGGGTGTGTGTCTGTGTGTGTGTGAGTGTGTGTGTGTGTGAGCTTGTGTGTGTGTGTGTGTGAGAGAGGGTGTGTGTCTGTGTGACAGCTTGTGTTGTGTGTATCTCTGTGTGTGTGAGATTTTGTGTTGTGTGTGTCTCTGTGTGTGTGAGTGTATGTGAGAGCTTGTGTGTGTGTGAGAGCTTGTGTGTGTGTGTGTGTGTCTGTGCTCCAGTGTGGTGACATAGGAGTGTGTGTCCTTCAAACCACGGTGTCATTCTCTGCTCACTCCTGAAGAGGCTTTCTACCACTTTATCCATCCAAGCATCTCTCATGGTGTGTACCCAGACCCCAGACACACCCAGACACACACCCGGACACACACACGGACACACACACGGACACACACACACACTGAGGACTGTAATCATTTCTCCCTCTGATTAAAATGTCTTGTTTCTTCATGCCCCAATAATCAGTTGACTGTTATTCAATAACACAACATCAGTGTGCTCTGGGGGAGACAGGGGTGAGACAGGGGTGAGACAGGGGGGAGACAGGGGGGAGACAGGGGGAGATAAAATGTTGCACAGGTTTATAGTATTAATTTACCTTTTGAGATGCATTAGTGTTTTGTTTTCAGACGATAGAAATTTGTTTTATTCACCATGTTACAAAATAGTTCCCTCAAACAAACAAACACGGAGACTGTCAGGAGCTTCACAATCATGAAATGTCAAAGAGACACACACACAAGGACACAGACACATACACACACAAGGACACAGACACACACACAAACACACACAAGGACACAGACACACACACAAACACACACACACACCCTCACAGACTTCGACACACACCCTCACACACACCCACACACATACACACACACACACACAGACTCCGACACACACCCTCACACACACCCACACACATACACACACACACACACAGACTCCGACACACACACACACACACACACAGCAGTGAAAGGGCAAAGCATGAATGAGTGGGCCGACCTGATTGGCTGCTGCGCTCTGAGCTGCCCGAGCTGAAGTCCTGCGATTGGTTGTGCGGGATTCTGTTAGACAGCCCCTCGGCCAATCGGTGGTCAGGAATGAAAAGGAGGGCTAAAGGGGGTGGGGTTGAAGGGGAAAAACCACAGCGGAGTGAGCTGATTGGCTGACAGCACATGCAGTTAGAGTGGCGCAAAGCAATGGACCAATCAGCACGCAGCATCTCTCATTCAAACACATTCAGGTCAAAGGATCATCTTTCAGAGGAGATAAACACAGAGAGAAACACAGAGAGTCCTGGGTCTACAGCCTCAGTCCTGGGTCTACAGTCTCAGTCCTGGGTCTACAGCCTCAGTCCTGGGTCTACAGCCTCAGTCCTGGGTCTACAGTCTCAGTCCTGGGTCTACAGCCTCAGTCCTGGGTCTACAGCCTCAGTCCTGGGTCTACAGTCTCAGTCCTGGGTCTACAGCCTCAGTCCTGGGTCTACAGCCTCAGTCCTGGGTCTTCAGCCTCAGTCCTGGGTCTACAGCCTCAGTCCTGGGTCTACAGCCTCAGTCCTGGGTCTACAGCCTCAGTCCTGGGTCTACAGCCTCAGTCCTGGGTCTACAGCCTCAGTCCTGGGTCTACAGCCTCAGTCCTGGATCTACAGCCTCAGTCCAAAATCTACTATTTTATTTTTATTCTAAACCTTTGTAAACTGCATTATATATTTATTATTATGACCCAGAAAAGGACAAAGAAGCGAAGAAGATGGACTGAAATCCAGATGAAAGGACTTCCTCCACTGTCACAAACGTAGTTGCCCAAAGGGAGAGTGAGACTTACTGTTGTTGCAAGAGCCCTTCTCGGGCAGAGAGTATCCCAGACTGGCCATGTCGTGTTTGGTCTGGAGAGAGGTCTTCCACTGGGAGTCGGGCAGCTCCACGGCCAGCTCGTGGATGCTGGAGGAGTGCAGGATCTGTGTGGTGGCGTAGGGCGTGGCCTGGCAGGACTGGGGCTGGCTGCAGGGACTGTTGTAGCTGCCTTTGCTGGTGAAGTCGATGGAGCTGTAGATGGCTCCGTCCGACAGCATGGTGGCGCTCTTCTCCTGTCCAGAGTGCTCTGTGGAGGACAGCGGTCAATACAGATGTTTCTGCTGTTCAGGGGTTTAGGATCAACAGGAACAAGCTTCATCTCCAGTAGGGGGCGCTCCAACCCCCGACTGCCTCAGCTGACCAAAAGTCTGGGACTTCAGAGTTCTGGGCAGAGGTGGGAAATTCATTTTTTTGAGGAGCCACATTGGGACACAATCCACAATCAGGAGATATCCTGATTGTGGATTGTGTCCCTTTCATGTGGTTCATTCTCAAATACATTTCCAAAAGACTTAATATTAAGTGCTAAGATTTTTAAAAAGTATATATTTTGTATGTAATTTTTTACTAATGCTAACGCTAACGGCATGTTGTCACATTGTTGACTTTATAATTACAATACAGTTGAATCTAATATAACTTTGGTTAAACCCGGTTTGGATCGGCTGGGAAGGGTCTGGGGGCCACATATAAATGTGAAACAGGCCAGATGTGGCCCCAGGGCCACACTTTGCCCAGGTCTGTTGTTAGTTATAGATCTATTATAATCAGATAAACCCTTGATGTTGTGGTTCAGAAGGAAGTATCTACTGGAGGACGCTGAGGGGAACACTCTGAAGGAGTGTTTTTGTCTCGGTATAAATCTGAGAAACTACACATTTAACATCTTCTGACACACGGTCCCAAACCTTCTTCATCGGTTTGTCGTGGAGAATTCTGCTTCAGATGTTCTGTTTCTTTTGTTGGATGGATTCACGGACACGGTTCAACAGACCCAGTGTGTACTGATTACTTAAAGGTCCCATATCACGCGTTTCGACTTCTCTTTGCTTTAACATCCTTACAGAGCTATTTGGCCTCAAACACATGCCCAGAGTAGTTTTTCATTGATTCTCTCAAGCTTCAGTTAGAGAACGATCTTTCTCTGTCAATCTCCAGAGGCAGAAAACGACTTCACATTGATGACACAGCAACACTTTGAGGACGCAGCACGAGCTGCAGAAGCCCCGCCTCCAGGAGGTGATTGACAGGAGAGAAATAGTGAATGAGCGCATGCAGCCTCTCTCCGGAGTCCTCCAAATGATCCCACGTCTAACGCAGTCTGTACATGCAGCCCACTCACTGTATGCCACTGGTAACTAAATAATTAGGTCTGATTCTGGATGGAGGACATCTGGCTCTCTGTGACGGGTCATTGTTGGTCTCAACACCTCGCTCCTGTTCTCATTATTGTTACTTAGAAAAGGATCAAACACACTTTCATATTACCACAAACAGGAGTGAACAGGAGCCTAAACAAAGTATGTAAAGTCTAAAGTCTTTAAGGTCATGTTAAAGACCTTAACCTCTGTCACACTGATAAAGTCTCTAAGTGCAGTGGAGCTACAGATGTTCTTACTGCTCATGTAAACAGCGGGCGCCTCTCCACAGATGTGACCTGTAACTAACCAACCAAGTGAAGGAGTGTGAGGACTGACCTGAGCGGCCGAAGTTGCTGAGCTCGTTGGGCCCTCCGGAGCTGCTGGTGACCGGGAGGCTGGGGGCCGGCCAGGAGTCAGCTAACCAGGGGTACGAGGGATCAGAGGAGAGCAGGCCGGGGCGACTGTGGGGGGCAGAGGAGACCAGGTGAGCACCATCAACCACAGGACTCAAGACAAGGACCAGGTTTGAACTTTACATCAAGGAACCATTTAAACACAGAGATTGGAGATTTTAACCATTGTACAACGTTCAAATCTGGATTTAATGATGGCGTGAAGAGAGCGTTCTCCTGGGTCTACAGCCTCAGTCCTGGGTCTACAGCCTCAGTCCTGGGTCTACAGCCTCAGTCCTGGGTCTACAGCCTCAGTCCTGGGTCTACAGCCTCAGTCCTGGGTCTACAGCCTCAGTCCTGGGTCTACAGCCTCAGTCCTGGGTCTACAGCCTCAGTCCTGGGTCTACAGCCTCAGTCCTGGGTCTACAGCCTCAGTCCTGGGTCTAGTCCTGGCACCCGCGGCATGAACTGCCGTTTTCTTCTTCAGATTTCACTGTTCTTTGGTAATGTCTCTGTGTGTGTTGAGCCTGAACCATTACACTGGTGCAGATCCAAAAGCATTAGCCGCGCCGCTCTGTGCTCTGCCCTCTCCCCGAGCGCCTGGATCCCAGTGTGACCGCACTTTTCACCAGTCTGCAGATTTGCTGCTTATGTCTTAAGGCCGTATCTGCAGAGCTTCACAAAAATAGAAATGGGAAGTTCTCCATTTGCAGTGTTTGATGAAGCGTGTGCTTTATCACTGAAGACTGAAGACAAACACAGTCCACTATCATCTGAAACATATATATATAGATATATATATATCTATATATATATGTATATATTAGTGTCATTACTGCAGTGAAATACTACGACAGGAGCGTTTGTCCTTTTGCAGTAGATGTTTCATGATACGTCTGTGGTACATAGAGCATTTTAGGTGCTTTCAACAATCAATGAAAGAACATTCACTCCTTGTGTTTCATATCCAGTCCATATTCTCCTGTGGACTCAGCCCCTGCAGGAGGATCAGTGAGGGGCTGGTGCTCTGACTGCCACCCCCCGCCCCGACCCAGAAATGGATTTAGGGGAAGAAAATGGATGGATGGATGTGTTTCATATCATTACAACAATGTGTGCATTTTATAACAAAGTTGTTATTCAATTATGAAGCTTTAGGGGAAATTCAGACTGGAAGACATGAACGAAGCTCAGAGAACCACCACCCAGAGGACCACCACCCAGAGGACCACCACCCAGAGGACCACCACCCAGAGGACCACCACCAGTGCTCTGCCGCGGTCTAAGCGCCAAATCTTAACCACATTCTGTACAGAAGCAATAAATGTAATTTTAATGTTGTCCTCAGAGTCGTATGTGTACTTTATGTAGAGTCAGATTACTGCCAACAGTACACTTTTCTAATAATAGCATGTTTTTTTCTGATCCACTTTGAAATAGATTATATCTAGAAACTAGTAATCACCTGACGTCCTGTGGTCCTGGGCCCCAGAGATCCTAAATAAACTCAGCATTGGTTCCAGTAAATCCAGTAAAGCAGAAAACATGCAACTGGGAGACACCGGGAAATATCAATCCAAACCTTTGCATTCACACTTCTGGCCCCAGAGTCAGGACTAAACAGGAGGAGGCAAAGCATCACATAAATGCAGCTAAAATCTGGAAAAGTCTTCCTGAAAATGTGAGACTTCCCTCTGACAACAGTTAAAATCCAGGTTACAACAGTTCTGTTTAGCTGAAACTCTGTGAGGTCTTTAGCGACTGTTTCTATCTTGTTTCGTTCAGCTCTTTGAGGCGCCTTGTGTTTGAACTGTGCTATACAAATAAACCTGCCGCGTGCCCTCAGTCTCACAGGAGCTTTAAAGGTTCTAATCAGCACAGAGTGAGCCTCCTGTCTTCCACTGTGTAACTGTCCCTGGTTCGTCTCGTGTCCCAGATGTTTGCACTTGTCCATCTGGCCCAGAGCGCCGCCTGACACGCCGCGCTCATATCCATTTGTTATCCCGTGTGTTTGCCGCATTAATTAGACAATAGCAAATGGAGCCGGCCCGATCCCTGCGCTCTGATTGGCTGCGGCTAAATTGCCCTGACGGAACAATCGCGCTTAATCGATCATACGAGAAATGATTCGCGGAAGATGAATCGTCGCCAGATTGGGACACGTTCGGGGAGCGTTTGACTTTGGAGACTGCAGTCACTTTGATCAGAGCTGATATGATTCTGCAGCTGGCGGTTAGCATGAGCCGCGCTGATAAACCTCTGGCAGCGGGGACCGGCAAATGATGGCGTGAAAAGGATCATATTCTGTGGTTTTCAGGACAAATGATGGAATTAAGGATGGTTTAGTTAAAGCAACAGGAGGAGAGATGTTTCTGATACACACTGGTCATGCACAATGAAGGATAACTCTGAAAACACATTTGACTGTGACTTTGTTTGTTGGTTCTGTGACTGAGAGAGACCAGAGGGAAACCAGGGAGAGAGACCAGAGAGAGAGACCTGGGAGAGAGACCAGAGAGAGAGACCAGAGAGAGAGACCAGAGAGAGAGACCAGAGAGAGAGACCAGAGAGAGACCAGAGAGAGACCAGGGAGACCAGAGAGAGACCAGAGAGAGACCACAGAGAGGTGCTCCGTTCTGAAACAGGACTTGTGAGCTGCCTGTTCAGGAGGTTCTTTATGAATTAAATCCAGCTCTTAGAATAATCAATGACTCTAAGAGTTGGCAGAGATGCAGGAGATCTGGATATGCTAACATGCTAACATGCTAACATATTCTTTCAGCTGTTATCAGTCAATGATCTTGTACTTGTTACTTATTAAACTGTTCTTTGTTGATTGGTTTGAGACGATTGTTTCTAGTACTTTTTTAGCTTGTTGTATTTATGTACTTGGCTGGTGTACAATGGGGACTTTTGCACATGTATTCTACTGTGGTTTTACTGCAAATGGCAAATAAACTGAATCTGAAGCCAATTCCAGTAAAGCTAATTTGTAAAAGAAATGAACCTTGTGCGTCTCCGAGAGTCTCTGCAGTCCTCTGTGCGGAGAGAGCTACAGTCAGTCTGTCTGATGAGGCTTTGTGTCTGAGAACCAGGTGACTCCCGGGGGAGGCCAGAGTGTCTCTCGCCCCAGGACAAGGCCAGGTAATGGGCTCGCTGCGGTAAGCTTCAGCCTATGCCCTGGGTCTAATGAGAGAGCTGCTCCATGCTGGAGGAGGAGGAGGAGGAGGAGGAGGAGGAGGAGGAGGATGACAGAGGAGGCCCTCTCGTCTTCTTCAAACTCTTTTATACATAAAACATGTTTTAGCTTAAGTCATGCAATCTTTATATAGATGTGGGCAGTAGACATTGATCCATGAAGCCATTTCTCCTGATTTCTCTGAGGACGTAACACGATATCAACAATTATTTTTAAGGAATGAGTTTTTCAAATAAAATGGATTGAATTGTGTCTTTATGACTTTGTTTGAAGTCACTGCAGAAAAACAATGGTGTTTCTGAGCTACAACGTAACACAGAGAAAAACTCAGACATTTACAGATCACTGTGGCATCATGAGGGTCCAGGAAGGTCCTGGATCCAGAGAGGGGGGACACCGGAGCACCTGGAGGAAACCAATGCAGATACAGGGAGAACATGCAAAATCAGAAAGACCCTCTCTGTAGGTGGAATCGAACCCAGGACCTTCTTGCTGAAAAGCATCCAGGTGACATCTCACTGGATGAGTTTGCAGGAGCTGTCTCTTAGTGATTAGCACTTGTGCTTCACAAGAAGGTCCTGGATACGATTCCACCTCCAGACCTTTTTGTGTAGTTTGCATGTTCTCCCCGTGTCAGCGTAGGTTTCCTCCCCCTATCCGCCTGACTGAGCTCCTTCACCATGGGCCCACCGCCGCCCGGACCCTGACTCTTCACAATGGCCTCCTCGCCCTTGGATCTGCCGTGGATGGTTAGATAAGAGTGATCGGGTCGTGGCGTGGGCACCTTCAGTGTGGATGGCAACATGTGATCTATGTAACGGGCTAGAGAGAGCATCGCCATGGTAACACACTCCAGCTACAGAGACATCAAACCGAGAACTTTTTAGTTCTTTATCTAAAGGCCACATTCTTCTTCACTCAACTTATGAGAGTGAAGAGCGGAACGATTGTTCCACTGTCGTCTTTTTAAACACTACTTCAAATGGACCATGCCCCCTCGT